TGTAATGTAAGAACGTTTTGAACTAGGAGATGAAAATGCTTTTATTAAATCCAGTCTTCAAATGTTGTCAGAAATGATGAATTCCAATTGTCCTTATAACCGAAATAGATAAATGAAGCAAGCAAACTGTTAGTCGAATATGGCTGACATCTTATTGCCTCTGTAGCGTTACTACAAGAATGCCAAACCTCCCATTGTGTCTAGCTGCAATATTACAATATAGAGTAGAGATGTATATGGTCTATGGCTACAGTTATATGGTCTTCGAGGTGTGGACAGCGACGTTACACGTGTTTTATAGTGTTCCGGGCTGCTCAAATTAGTTATTATTCCTGGTGTCTGTGAAATTATACCTCGAGCATGTGCAGTCCTGAAAATGATCGTTATTATGTTAACTCTAATAAGACAAATGATCCGGATTAGGAAATCTGTGATGTAATGCAGCATATCATCTTAATAAGAATTTGGACGTGATTTCTCTGTGGCTTGACATTTCTATGACTGTCTATTGTCTAAGGCAAGATGGCGCTGTGTTTGAGATGCGCCTTTAGTACAATCCTATATCATCTTTAATGTTTCTGTCACAGGATCCTCAAATAAACTGGAAATAGCAAGTAAACAAAAGAATTATATGTTGATACATTCTGCCACAACATATGGTGCATCGAAAAGATGTAGTAGGATATGCTATATTGGCAGTGTGATAACGCCCAGAAAACAGTTGTTTGAATCAGATTTAGACTAAGTATATGTTATATAGCTATCCAGATACATTTAAAGCATGTTGGCAATTAAAAGGCAACTTTTATGAATGACGGATTTGCCATGTGTTATTTTGTCTGCTTTAGAAGCCAAGTTGTATTTCGTTCTCCTCCAAACTAGATTGGATACGTAGTTGTTTATATTCAGGAGTTTACTGATATGCTCTCACAGCTACGTATAATTTGCCGAGTATGAAGAGAGGAGTAATCACCGTTACAATAAAAACAAAGTTAACGGCGACTTCTGATGATTAGATCATCAAATTTCACGTTAGTTTTCGTGGCATTTTGTTGTGATGTTTGTAAGTTTTCGTGTTTCAGTATTTTACCCTGGATTTAAATGTCGTGTTGTAATGTTTGTACATTGTATCTGTTGTCGTGTTTCAGGGATTTAAGTATCGTGTTGTAATGTGTGTACATGTTATCAGTTGTCGTGTTTCGGGGATTTAAGTGTCGTGTTGTATTGTGTGTGCATTGTATCAGTTGTCGTGTTTCAGGGATTTAAGTGTCGTGTTGGAATGTTTGTACATTGTATCTGTTGTCGTGTTTCAGGGATTTAAGTGTCGTGTTGTAATGTGTGTACATTGTATCAGTTGTCGTGTTTCGGGGATTTAAGTGTCGTGTTGTAATGTGTGTGCATTGTATCAGTTGTCGTGTTTCAGGGATTTAAGTGTCGTGTTGGAATGTTTGTTCATTGTATCTGTTGTCGTGTTTCAGGGATTTAAGTGTCGTGTTGTAATGTGTGTACATTGTATCAGTTGTCGTGTTTCGGGGATTTAAGTATCGTGTTGTAATGTGTGTACATTGTATCAGTTGTGGTGTTTCAGGGATTTAAGTGTCGTGTTGTAATGTGTGTACATTGTATCAGATGTCGTGTTTCGGGGATATAAGTGTCGTGTTGTAATGTGTGTACATTGTATCAGTTGTCGTGTTTCAGGGATTAAAGTGTCGTGTTGTAATGTTTGTACATAGTATCTGTTGTCGTGTTTCAGGGATTTAAGTGTCGTGTTATAATGTGTGTACATTGTATCAGTTGTCGTGTTTCAGGGATTTAAGTGTCGTGTTGTAATGTTTGTACATTGTATCTGTTGTCGTGTTTCAGGGATTTAAGTATCGTGTTGTAATATTTGTACATGTTATCAGTTGTCTTGTCGTTTCTATATTTCTTCATTTTGTCCGATGTCGTGTTGTTATAATATTTGCACATTGTGTTATGTGAGGTTATAATGCAAAAAATTCCTTTCTATTCCTAAAATTCTTTCAATTCAAATGGAAAATAAATCGTTGAGAGAAAATTATCCTCATATGGATTAAACTTGTCCCATACGCATTTCATTTACTAAAGCAAAGAGACAATTGAATGAAAGTGTTGAATATCACAATGGCATCCACATAAATAATCTGAAAGCCCATTTTAAGTAAGGTGTTTATAATATCTTTATGAACGAAATGCAGCATGGTTATATTCCATTAGGAAAGAGAAAATCGGGAAATAAAAGGCTTAAAACAATTTTATTGGAACCGATCCTTTTTGCAGTATTTCCGGAAACTGGCATTTTCTCTTGCATGTGATTTACCCGGATCGGCAGGGACATCAAAATAATCGTCAGAGAAGTTTCGCTTAACATCACTTAGAATGAGACATAACTATACCACCGAAACAGCTCTGTGACTGGCACATCCGGAGATGGTGTTGGTATCTATTGTCACATGTTATATCTAACGCCGTGAATCCTCGGGATCGGAGAACTGGCGAGCTCTGACACCAATCAGTGGACATCTCGCCTCTGAGAATCATCTGTTGAGCGTCCACCTATTGTTGGTGTCAGTAGGTAGATCACCAATCAGGACAACAGTCTCTTAGAAGACGTACAAAGGACACAACACACCGTCACTACATATTTAGGATTGAATACGATAGAGCCAAATAATGAATTTAGCAGCTGCCTCTTCCTTCCTTGACTCGACATTAATGTTAAGTATTTAAATTGTAGAAACCTAGGAAGGGACCGAGGAAAATCAAATGGTCAACAAAATTGTAAAAATTGGAGAGGCGAAATACTTCCATACTTTAAATTCGATTTTAATTTTTGAATTTATCAATATTTTCATATCGGATAGTTCCAAATGAACGTTTAGTACATGTGTTTATTTTGAACATGTAACTGTTCAAATCACAATTTAGATGCACTTAAACGTGACATTCAGGTTGCGACACACCTTGGGGACTAAACTTCCAAGCAGTTTCTATCACCTGCAATTACAATGATTGTATAAAGGGCACAAAAGTGAATAGAACCGTGCAATGCAAATCTAGGATTAGAGGCAGTAAAGTCAAATAATGAATTAGACTGTTTTTACAGCTGCTTCGTCCCTCAGGGATTCATCGGTGATGCTAAATGTCGAAATAACGGAAACGTAAGAAGATATAGAATGATATCTTTTCTGACATGAAATTCTTCGTATGTTTGTCGGCAGCATTCCTCATGGACAAGAAAACCTTTGATATGGTGCCTGACATCAAGTTTGCTGTACCTTTGATAGATGCTGTTTCAGCTAGTATATTGTCAGTGAAATGTCTACATTATTTGATAGGTATATGTGTTGTGCCCCGGAAAACAATGAGGTTTTATAAAATCACTGATGATTTTTTTCCAAAGCAAGAGACACTAGATTTGATTGAATCTGAAATAATGAAGATTTCGGTACTAAAATAAAAGTTCTTGTAACTTAACAAGCTGAAGATTAGAGTGTCATGTGTCGACAACTACACGCTCACCTTCATCAAACAAATGACGAGTGTTGAGCGTACTAGAGTGACGTTGGTAGTGAATGAGAAAGTGAAGAAATGACCACCTTTTCCTGCTGTACTATAATCATATGCACACTAAGGTTGAAAACAGTGTGACTAGATGGTATACAGATTATAGACCAATATATACGCAAGATGGTTCCTTTTCATTGGTAGTAATATGTATTTATGTGTGAGAGAATATGGAGCTGATTTTCCATATCGAGTTCAAATGCTCACTAGTATCAAAGACTCACTTGTCATTCATAAAGATAGTTATATGGAATACCCCAGGGGGTGGGCAGTTGATTATACAAACAAGACGCATTTCTTATTTACACAATGGATAAACTGGTATAGGCGAGTAAGTTTTGGAGTGATTTGGGGCTTCAGATGACCTCATATGTCTTACTTTTGATGGAAGTAATTAGAAAATGTTATATCTGATTTTATCGTAAACATCGCAGGAATGCAAAGCTAGAAGGCAGACGTAAGCTTTTGTAAAAAACATAAACCTTTGATCATCATTTGTTCTGGCAATTGTACACGTTTTGTTGGATCGTTAGATCCCTACATCAATGTTTGATACTATTCTTTATGTTTTGTTATGTGAGGTGTAAAATAACAATGGGTCATATCAATATATATGTCATTGTACTGAATCTGATCATTTTACGCTTCATTATCTTTGCAATCTAAAACTTGTTCAGTTTTTTATGGATTAAAAAACTCATATGATTGATATTTATATAGAGAAAGTGTGGGAAGATCAAAATGCCCTTTTTATAAAAAAAATTACTAATGTTTTAGAGTGTGTTAAATATTTCTAAATTATCATAGCTTCTCCTCTTTCTGAAAAGTTATTCACAACACTGTTTTGTAAAACGAACAATGTCACTTATGTCTTACGTTTATAGCAAGAAAGTGTTTTTTTCTTTCAATTTCATAGTGTCATGTTGAATCACAATGAAACCTAAAATGTTAGATAATACAAAACGTGTCCGTAATGTCGGGTGGACAAATGAATGCTGGCACACTTAACCCAAAGTATAATGATCCGGGATGTCATGAGGTGGTTTTCCTCTGGCATTTAGTTTTAACATAAAAATAGAGGATATAGGAATGATCAGTTTTCGATTGTTGTTTATAGGGTATATGAATGACACCTAGATGAATTGTATTATTGAGATACATGTATCAACACTAACGTAGAGGACTTTTATGTTAAAGGTGAGAAACTGAAACAAGCATCGTATAATGGAAAATATTTTATTTTGGTATTGCACATTCACACGAAATCTCATATTTCACAAAACAAAAGGCAACCTCACAAGATTGTTTTCAGATTTTCAGTAAAACCACTGTAGCAACTTTAAACTCTCGATTATTCAACTTCATCGTTTTAAGAATCAGGGTTTTTTTTATATTTTATTTATTTCTGTTTTAGTTTAACCGTTCAAATTTTCACAACTCGTGAACTCTGAGTCACATGATCCACAAATACAATGAGTGGCATCATACACAGTGTAGGTAGGGTCAGGATGAAGAGGATGGCAATGTGTAAGGGTCAAAGTTCGCTCCCTAAGACCTCCATACGTACACACGGAATGGTTACTGATCTTGTATGGAATCCGGTAGTCAGGAATCTAAAATACATATCAATACCTTCAATAATATACTGGCTTCTGAATAGAACTGGTTTTATGCTACAGTGTATTTCAATCAACAAAAAAGATAAAAAAAAATAATCTGATGATATGAAATGATTTTTTCAAACAGGCAGAACCAATAGTAGATATGATATTCATAAATAGTAGATGTGATATTCATAAATAGTAGATGTGATATCTATAAATAGTAGATGTGATATCTATAAATAGTAGATTTGATATTTATAAATAGTAGATGTGATATCTATAAATAGTAGATGTGATATTTATAAATAGTAAATGTGATATTTATCAATTGTAGACGTGATATCTATTGATAGTAGATGTGAAATTTATCAATTGTAGACGTGATATCTATTAATAGTAGATGTGCTATTCATAAATAGTAGATGTGATATTCATAAATAGTAGATGTGATATTTATCAATTGTAGATATTGTATTAGTCAAAAGTAGATATACTACTACCAATTTTAGATATGATGGTTATCGATATAAGATATCAAATTCATTTACAGTAAATACGATATTTATTAATATTAGATATGATACTTATCAAGAAAGACAGGGTAGACAGTAAATGTTCATCACTAAAACAATTTACCTCGCTAGAGTCGCATCGACCCCAGCACGACCGGACCGGTATCATATCTTTACAAGGGAGTTCTTTGCCGCTCGGTGTCCTGTACGGTTTCGATGCGAACATTTTGAAAACTCTTTCATAACATCTTGAAACAAATCCACCGCTTTCTCCGCCACTACCGTTACAAAGAGCCAGGAAGGAGATCAACAACATACTGGGAAGACAACCCCAAAGGCAAACCATGTTGTTTATTACAGCAAAACTGCAAAACAAAATAATAAATAAAGAAAATCTTTCTGATTAATGGCGTACGTTTCTATAACACCAGACGTATCAATTTACCTTAGTTCTCAATGAGCATTACCTAACACAATTAACGAAACCGTGACGAAGAAGTGCCGAACAGTCGGCTAGTTCTTTTTATTGTATAATCGATGTTGTTAGCGCCATCTTACGGAAAGCTTACACAAAAATGTCAAGGCTGTAGCGGTCCCAGTCGAAAGTAGACAAATTACACAGTCAATGATGAACAAATTAGAACATTTGGCAAACTGAGCAACAGACAAATCAATCGATCACTTGATATCATGATAGGTATTGTCTGAGATTCCTTTCTTGTATTGGAATCCTGGGTTTATCCTCGTTCAGAACAACATGCTCCCTTTTTATATGAAGTTAAGAATGAAGTGCAATTTCATTGGTTATCAATTCAAGCAGTTAACCAAAACCAATATGTCAATATAATCATCCTGAAAAAGTACAAGGAGAATAAAACTAGACGTTCTGAAAGAGAAAATGTATTCTGCTTTATCGAAGACACCCACCATGAAAATCTTGGTCTATCCAAATAAGTTAGTTCACGTTCGCAAATGAGAAAAAGGAATACAACAACTGAACCAAAGTAACTAATACAGAGTTGTCCAGGTTTGTTCATATGAAATAGGAGACATTGCCGTGGAGGTCATATTACATCATGTTAACGTTGGCCTTTTGTCCTCATAATAGATTGAGTAGGTCGCAGAAGAAATTATACCTCTTTTGTACTCGCCTGTTTTAAATAATGTTTTCTGGATTTTCATTTTCAAGTGTTAAAAATATGTCTTTAGCTCAAGATCTGTTTAAGTTTATATTTTATCCTCATAATTTAGTTTATCATAAAATGACAATATCTAGAAAAATCACTTGACGAGAAAATTCCTGAACGAGACAATTTCCGTACGAGACAGTTCGCGGACGAGACAATTTCCGGACGAGACAGTTCGCGGACGAGACAATCCCCGGACGAGACAATTCCCGGACGAGACAGTTCGCGGACGAAACAATTCCCGGACGAGACCATCACCTGGACAAGATATCCATACGTAAGACAATGTTAAAGATTAGTTCTGACATAAGCAAAGTCAATAAATTAACAATATTGCCTTTATAACCAAATATCGGTATTTTCCTACATCTAATATCTGCTTTCAGTACCTTGAAGGAATTTGATTTTTCGGAATATTTTCTCTTATCCAATAGACTTATATCAGTGCAGAGAGCTGCAATATTTGTAAGCTTGTTCGATATGGTTCATTCAGCGTGGAATCTGTATGATGTAAATGTTCAAAATATAACTCAATTTTTGTGGAAAACTTCTTATTGTCGAAACTCAGTTTAGCTACTTACTGTGTAATCATTGACGATAATATTTACAAAATCAAAAAGTCATAAACTATAGTCAATAATGAAAACTATTTTCTTTGGGTTTTTATTAATACAAAACAAGCATTGACCTCAGTAGAAGTGCAAGTAATATATCAGATAGGTTATAGTGATACATTATACTGTTTTATGTTAGTATTTGTGTATTAAATTCACTTTTACTATTTAATGATTATTAAATAATACAGTTTTTACTGACAAAGACACAGGGATATGTTTGAGAATCTTGTTAATAATGCACCACCTTAAAAGCCTTGTCATTATTGAACTCGGTAACGCCCTAAATTGCTGTGACATGGCCACTCAGGGGAGAAGAGTTTCTACTCTACCTCACACAATTAACCTCATGTGTGATTATGTCACAGTGTAAAACATAACAGAGAAAACATGAAAAAGCCAATTTTTCTAGTACGAATATCTTTTAATCCAAAGACATTGCTTGAAATACATTACATATACTTTAATTTGATTTCAAAGTAACATTATACGAAACAATGATAGTGTTTTAGAAATAGCAACTGGTAAAGCACTACATATCCTATCTGTAGTGTTAAAATTTTCTATTATAAATACGTGCCTTCCTAATTTTGTTCGCAAACAAAATATTGACAGATAAAGATTTTATTACCCCCTAGCAATATTGAGATTAAAACATCAATTGGGATATCGTTCAAATTAATTAATTAGTTTGCACTATCAATAACAAATCGTGTTTTTGAGTGCAGTGTATTTGATAAATAGCTTCATCATACGCACCAGATAGAAATAATCAATAACAATTAAAAGTTTGCTTTGTTTGTACCTGTGTGTAAATTAATTGATTAATTAATGTATAATGATGTGAGCTAGGGTTACAGAGTGGACACCTTTATATATTTATACCATCTCTTACAAAAACTGTCTTTGTTTCGATAAAAGTGAAATTTCTACTTCCGCTGTCATTCATGCCAGTGCTCTATATATATATCTACCTATCAATGTTTATGGGAGAATATTCTCCTTGTGTGATATGGAGAACATCGGAAAAATGACAACATGTCAAGCTAATTTTACTCCAAACTCAAATTCAATAAAACTAGGGCAAAATATGAAAACGTACGAAGAGAATAAGACTAGGTGGACGTATTTGATGCTCTTTGTTTACCTTCTTCTCATATTGGAACGTCACATTACTCACTTGGATTGACAAAGATTAACATGGTAGATGTCGACGATGAATCAGAGGACACTTACCTTTTCAAAACACCTGGTCTTATATTTCTTGTACTTTATTTTTACATATGATTTTTTCGTTTATTCAAATGTTACGTGGTTTCGTCAGTTTGCGTTTGAATAATGACATTGTTGACATGTTGATGTTATTCAATTTTTAGATGTTGCATTGAATGAAATATACCATTTACTTCTCATTTATTTCAAACGCGGGATTACACTTAAGGGTTCATCCCTGACTAATATGTAATACAATCGAAGGTTTAATGTTTCATTAACATATTAGCAACACAATGGGAACATCCATATGTACTGATGTCTACTGTTTAACTAATAATGGTATGCTGTTAGAATTATACGAGAGACCTTTACTAGTATCAAACATTCCTCTTAATTAAAAGACCCTTCTTTCTTGTTTCCAATAAAGGATATTTACGATACTCCCGTTGGTGGTGACTTTTCAGGGATCTGTTTATCTTGTTTATAGTCTGCTCTTGATTTGTCAAGATTTATATAGGGGATGTCGCAGATGAAGCAGAAGACACCTACCCTGGTCTTTTTTCCCTTGTTTTTAAACAGAAGTCTCCGTGTAAGTCTTTCTTTTGTTCACATTTAGCCATTTTTTTTTATTGTACTGAGATTCTATTTACCTATCATCATTATTCTCTATTTTCTTTTTTTTTTTTTTTTTTTTGCTTTTGAGTGGAAACTTCTTTAAACGCGATGTGATGGTGATGCTGTTATTGTCATCCACTTGTCCTTTAGGTGTTATTAAACTATGTTCTAAACCTGTTTAATACATGTAACGCTAGTGAATTAAACAATAGTTGTATGACAATTTTTTAATGATAATCAGAGTTTAGCAAAGTTCGGTATCATTTTGTTTCTCTATCGTTTGCTAATAACGAATCTCGAATTTTCATTTTAATCAAATTCAGACAAAGTTTGCTTTCTGCGCTGGTGTACTAACTAACACCTGCCAATTTCAATGGAATGATAGTGCTTAGAATTCTTTTTTTTATCCTTCACAGATTTATGGTAGTTCTTGACATGAACTTAATGTTAATAAATGACTGGACACTTTCGTGGTTCGTATATATTCTGTCTACATGTTGATGTCTTTTTAGCCTGTCGATACAACATAAGTCTATGTAACCTTTGGAGGAGATCTGAGTCAGTGGTTCTGTGCTTCCCTTGAGATATGTATTTCTCATGAAGCTGACAAGTGGACCAATCTATGCTAACGTGATTTTGTCCATTGGCAAAACATTTTACCCGTGACTGCTAAGAATGACTTTCCGTATGTTGTTTGCCTAGGGCGATAAATCCAGAAAACGGGAATATCGAAAACTAACCGAGGAGGACATAAGGAGCAGCATTATAAACTCAATATCGGATTGATGAAGGCAAAACTTTAAAATTGCACGGGGACCCTTGAAAACTTGCAAGGTATTCCGGAAGGGCAAGCGTCTTTTGATTCATCGACAACGCCAGCAATTATACCTCTTACTATAAAACAATACATGATAAAACACATATAAGACATTTCCTTTTATATGCTTCTTGTGCAGTTAGATATCAGACAAAAATACGGTAATGATATTGTCTATCACTCTTAACAAACATTTCCCCTTGATTGGATTATTTCAGCCGATTTTAGTTTTGTAACATGTATTCTGATTCTTAAGTCCATAGCACCACTGCACTACAAGGTCGAAACAGTTGATTGCTATTGTAAATAGAGTTAATTTTGATTGAAAATTGCTATTTACTTGTGTGTTTTGTGCATGCATTTAGTACGATACGAGATTAAGCCTCAATGGTATAGAGCGCTTTTCGTGGAAGCGTGGAGGTGATAGTGCTATCACAGAGAACACGTAGCGTAAACACGGCATCAAGACATCTCCCTAAGCAATAATTCATTGAAGCAATTTTGACTGCTTTGTAGAGAATGTTCATGGGCAATCAAAGTAAATGTCATGTAATTAATATTGGAAATCAGATTCAGGTTGTCAGCTTGTTTTCAAAGACGGGAGGGATGAAGCTTTTTGTCATTTTTTGTTTGAAACCAACAGCTCTTTAAAAGAAAAATAGGCGTTTTCTTCCTAACACAATAACACGAATGCGTTTTACAATATACCAATTACAATAATTGTTAACGAGTGTATTAAAGTAACACATATATGCATTCATATCGATAATAGTATACAGTTTGCACACACTGAAAAGTCAATCTTACCTTCTGTTGCGGATAAAAAAGGACAGAATTGGCTCCCTCACAGGGACGAACCTTCGTGTATCCTCGGCCTGTATTGGTTTTAAACAAAAGG